TGTGTGTGTGAGTGTGTGTGTGTGTGTGTGTGTGTGAGTGTGTGTGTGTGTGTGTGTATGTGTGTATGTGTGTACGTATGTGTGTGTGTGTGTCAGAGATGCCAACCACAGAAAACCGAAATGAGTATTGGGAAATATGAAAATGTGTATTTTCAGAGAAAAAATTTGTATTCCCCATGACCGACCGACCAACCAGTAATAGTAAAATGTTCAGGGTGTCCAGCAACATTTCCTTAAAAAAAATTACTAGCTCACCAGCTCGAAAAAGGGAGCACACATGCGTACAATATACATGTATGCAGTCAACAACATGTCAGTGTTCAATGTCGTACTGGGGTCTTGTTTGACTTAAGTATTTCAGTCTATTATATATTTTCCTCTCATTATTATATAAAAAATAATCCTGCTTTGAGAGTTCAGAAGGGCCTAGAACAAGAATTTCGACTATCGAGAACCAGTCTGGGTGTCATGAATTCATGTTATGAACTGACAGACTCAAATTATTGCTCAAACTCAGAGAAAAGCAATAACTTGAATGGCTCAAGTAGACCTGTGCACTGTGAGAGTTGTGACAACTATGGGAGGGCAAGATGCAGTGACACTGAAAATCTGCCAGTCTTGAACAGAAAGCTACAACATACACTGCAGGTATGGTTTATTATCACACATCCAAGTAGACGTAGGTATAATTTATTATCACCCATCCAAGTAGACGTAGGTATAATTTAATATCACCCATCCAAGTAGATGTAGGTATAATTTATTATCACCCATCCAAGTAGATGTAGGTATAATTTATTATCACCCATCCAAGTAGACGTAGGTATAATTTACTATCACCCATCCAAGTAGATGTAGGTATAATTTACTATCACCCACCCAAGTAGGTATAATTACTTTCACCCATCCAATGAAACGCGAACACTTTATTTCAATAACACCGACTTGCAAAGTATGAGGGGTTCCGATTCCGCACACGGCCTGCACCAACGCGTGCTTTGCAGAAAGCTCTAATCAAAATTCTGAATGTTTTGAGCAAAAGTTTTATGGCACTTGCAACACAAATAGGTAATGCAAATGAGGAAATTTAGAGGTGTTTCTAGAAAATAACATACAAAGCGTTACAAAGAAAAGACAAAGGAGAGATAATAAAGTTAACAGATGATTGATATGAAATAAAGTGCACGCCACACAGGAGCCCCCACCAACCACTCACTCCTTTTGTATAGTTGCGCAAATCTTATATCTGTACTGAATTGAGCATTATAGAAATGCAATCTATTACTATCATTATTATTATCATTATTTCTATTATTATTATATAGTCTAAAGACAACTGACAAGAATAGACAAAAGCATTTTGAAGAAATGTCAAGCTGGAAATTCTTACTGAATGGACATCCCTCTATCTCCACTCGCAGGGCAATAACCATGTTCCATCGTTGAGGGTTGAAGCGGATGTACTGAGCAACAATCGGGTATTGCAAAACTCTTTTCTGAAGGCCAGAGTCATCATAGTTCCCTTCGAAAATCTGAACAGAAAAGAAAACAAAAATGATTAAACTTCAACTTCACTTTAAAACTATTAACCCGTTTCCTGCTCAACAGTTTTCCCTACCCTGTGGTGAAGATTTTTCTGCTGGCCTCGAACTTCAATCAATAAAAAACTACTCTGTGTTAAGATATGTCAACTGACAAAATTAGTACGGGATGGACACAGAAAGTCACCACTTTCGTGGAATTCCACTCTTATTAAATTGAAAGTTTTAAAACCTTTCATCAGCCAAGGCCATTCATCCAAAAAAAATGGAAATACAGGCCAACTCATTTTCAGGACATATGTCACAAGAGCCAACCCCCCAAAAAAGATTTAGATTTAAATTTCTACATCTGCATTGCAACATTGTTTTTTAGTAGCCTGTGCTGACTCTACAATTGAAATTTTAATTTTCAAATTGAATAAAGCTAAAATCTGATCGTGACAAAAGGGAACACACAGACACAGCCAGATCCTGAAAGCAAACCATACAGACAGAAACAGGCTCTAAAACCATTACCTTCACACAAATTAATATTCTGCACTAATCATAATACAAAACTATAACACAAATGATGGGAAAACACAAAGGCTAAAAAAACAAAAAAGAAAATTAGTGAAAACAGTAAAACTCCACGCCATCAGCACTTTAAAAAAAATAATTATATCCAATTTGGCTCAAACGGGACAAACAAATAATTTAAAAATCTTTATCTCCAAAACCATTGTCATGACTTCCTCATTTGCCCTCACAAAACCCAAATTACTAAGATAAGAAAGGGAAGTAAAATGTAAATGACCCTTTACCTCAGGTATTCCCAGCTGGTTGGTGTAGCGACGCCATGTCTGAGAGTCGTCCGAGTACTCAAGGAAAAACTCGCGCACATACTCATCACTGCCCTGCCGACCCTGGAGATAGATGGCTGTCACAACGTACAGACTGCCTATATCTACCTGGAGCCACTGGAAAGCATTCTGAATTGATGGGGACCATGCACCTGTGATAAGAAAGAATGTTATTAATAGGAACCAAAAAAACAGTAACAAGTATTCTAAAGCAAGGAAATATTTACAAGAGACACAAAGTTTTGGTTAAGTTTAGGTATGAATTTTGCAGCACTTCCAGCATAATTATTATATTATTAAGTGTTACAGATTAGAGGCTTTACTTGAGCGTAACATACAAAGAAAAGAAGGAGGACATGAAGGACAGTAGATATTTGATAGGAAAGAAGGAGCGAAATACACCAAAGCACTTGCAACCACCCACTAAAACGAATGGATTCCCTGAGCATTCATGAAAAGACCAAATATGTAAGGTGGTCAATGATGAGGTTGTGCAACAGCAAGTCAGCACGACACAGACCAGTAAACAGTAAGGGATAAATAAATGCAGATAAAAGGAAGCAGAAGAGGTACAACAGACCGGAACTCCCCCAAAGCACAATAATGTAAATAAGAATTCTTAGACTATAGCAGATTTGTCAGGCAAAAAAACAGCGAATAATCTACAAATGTGTATAAATCATGAAGCATCACATGTAATTAATTTCAGACTAAAGAACAGGGTATATTTTATCGATAAAAGGCAATATGCCGGCTTTTTCCATATATCTTAAGCTTTGATTATAATTAAATATTTTTAACAACATTAGTAACAACAATATTTTTTAAAGAAAAGAAATTGCCACTAAATTACTTTCCTAAAAATCTAAATATATCACAGTATAGCAAAAGCTTTAAATTGGTATGCTGCACGAGTTGGTAATGTAAGCTTGTAAAACGATGGTTGGCTGATTACATATTTTCAAGTTTCTTTTAGACGCCACTATAAATGAAATAACATGTGAGAGCAAAGCTCCAACATAACTTGGGGCGATTCAACTACTAAGGTAACTAAATCCGGTAGTGATATTTCAGAAAATAGAGCTCCAAGTTTCTGTTGACAAAGTTTATAAGGTGCTTTGAGGGACAGAGATGAAGGCAGAGTAAGTTTTGAGAAAAATCAGGCGCAACAGGTGGAAGAAAAAAATTGGGACACTTGATATTTGGGACAAAACATCAGAATGAGTGGCAGGTCTGTGTACAGTACAGTACTGTTGTTACTGTGCTGCTCTGGCACACATAGAACTCAGCCAGGACAGTCAACACACTCCCCGCATCAATATCAATGGTAACCCAAATATAAGAAAATAAAAATAAATGTTCCTCAACCTGCAGATCGTCCAACACGTCCATCTTTTGGCTGTCTTTTGCTCTGGAAAGAGCTCGCTATCATAGCCGAGTCAGGAATGCGGCCATCTTGCACTCCTACAGTGTGCTGATATGTTCCTTTACAATCTGAATATTCATAAACTTCCCCTGTGGATGAGAAACATTTAGAGAATTTCATTTTTGTTCTATTTAATGAACCCCCCACATTTTTTAAACCCCAAACTTACAAACCCATTGAGGTGGCTCTGCTCTCCTAGTAACTTTTCCCTGAAGCACATTGAAAATCAGATTTAATTGCATTGAGTGAGGGCCAGCCAAATTTTCTTCCATGCCATTTTTGTAAAGTACAATCATTTCAACTTGCAACTTTAAAAAATAAACATGTTTTAGCCAAAGGTCGAAATCAAATTCTTTCAAACTGTAGCAGAACGTTAGCTTTGGCCCCACACAGTAAAAACAGTACAGTAATTTGTTACAACGTGACTATTCGGACTCGAGTCTGAATAAAAAACAAAAATTATATTCAGACTCTGAATTGAGTCCAGCATGACATCACTTCCAACACAAGGGAAAAGAGGCTGATTAGGCAGAGTAAACATCGTTGAATTAGTACAACAGAATATTACACCCAGATTTATATATATATATGTGGGAATTTTCAGAGAATAGTTTTAACTCTAGTGTGGTTTATGTGGTAACTTCAAACATCAAGCTTTGCTATGCGCATTTTTACGAAGGCCATATCGCTCTACCCCCCCCCCCCCCCCAAGCGAGGTCTATACTCGAGTCCGAATAGTCTCCTGTTGCTATTCGGACTTTACTAGTAAGTTATTACACTGCGTTTCCCGACCACAAAGGGATCAAAATATAAAATTCATAATCAGTCCTTATAAGACAGCCCCCCCCCCCTTTCTCTCTCTTTTACTTTTCCTCTCTCTCTTTCTCTTACTTTTTCTCTCTCCATCTTACTTCCCCAGGCTGCCCCATCAACTTTACCCCTTTTTTTTTGCATATATAGATCTATATTCCCTCCCATACCATTGCCCACTGCCCGGCCCTACTATTATATTATCATTTGTAAAGAAAAGACCAAAGTTCGCACTGGGTCACCACGTTTGGCGTCCATTTGTTGTAAGTTCCTTGGCCAGATCGTAGAAACCGAGGAAGGCCAAGGTCGAATTGCTTGTCTGCTTCACATCCGGTACACCTAGTGATTGTGTACACGCATTAGAGTTTGAATCAAAATAGCCACGAAAGGCTATCCGGACTCGAATTCAGACTTGAGTTCGAATAGAAACGCGAGGAGCGCGGCCAAAAAAACCCCGAAGTGACTATTTCTCGAACGCTCGGGAAAATAAAAGTTGAACTCTATTTCTCCCAACGGTTTCTGATCTCGAGATTTTTTTGTTATTTGCGAGATTTAGTGCCATCCTTTCATTCTCCCACTCTGCGAGGACAGGGAGGAAGCATTTTTTGCATCGAATTCAATTTCTAGAGCTAGAGATTTTTAAATGTCTGAATATTCAGATACTTCAGTTGTGGTTGGGGCATTTGAAAATACCTTCAAAAGGTACTGCGAGAAAACAAGATGGCTCAACCTTGGCAGTAACCTATTTTGCACTTAATCACAAAGCAAAAAAACTAAAATCCTTCATGTAAAAAAAAAAGGCCGACACTATTTCTCCGAACGTTCGGGAAAATAAAGCTGGGCACTATTTCTCCGAACACTCTGAAATCACATCCTTTCCCGCAAATTTCGGATATTATATAGAGTATAGGCCTACCAAAGATTGTTCGTATACAATATGGTTCAATCCGTCCAAAAAAGTCCGCAGTAAATATTTATAAAGAAATGCTACAGTTCCAAGCGGTTTTTCGCTACAGATATGACGTGTTGCCTATGAAGGGTGCTGCTCTTAAACTTAATGTGTTGTGTTCACTCGTGTGCTGTCTAGATCTAGATCTACAGAGGGTTATTGATAACGACACATAGAACTAGCTTCTTCGTTTGTCGCGGCCGCGACCAATCAATCGTGGCTTGAATTTTTAGCATTTTTTGGTCGGGGAATAAAAGTCAAATTTAAAAAAGAAAAAAGAAAAAAAAGAAAGAAACCGAAACCTCTTTACTTTTGAAAGAAAGTTCACTTAGCTTCACTTAGTCTCTTTCTCACTTGTCGTCACCACGTTGATTTGTTGAATACGTTACAGTTACTTTTATTTTCCCTCTTTGACTCTTTGTGGTGTTTTATTTTGTTAGTGTGTAATTTTTTTTCTTGTTACTGTTCTGATGTGTTGTTTCTCTACCATTTTTTTTGTTGGGGAAAGGAAGGGGGGGGGGGATGTTGCATAGTGTAACGTCATTTAATTTGATGTTCCTACCTTCATTAGATTCTAAATATATACATGTATATATATATATATAGATTTAAATGTTTTATGTTAGAGCGTAGGCCTACGTTCCACCAAAACCGATTACATGTACTGACACTGGCAGGCCCCTTAAATGTGTGTGATTCCATAATTTACATGTAATATCCTGTACTTTAAAAAAAAAATGTACGCACTTTTAGGGTTAAAACAGGCAATTTTCTTCGGACAGGTTGACACACACCTTTATTTGTTTATTTTTGTGGTTGTTTATGGGCTGTTCGACTAATTTTGATTTCATTCTGTTGTGAAACCTTTCTTTTTCACATTTTTACATTCATCTAAAAATCTCTAGACTAGCTCTTGAAAATTAAAATAGATATAGACCCAAAAATTTGCTCCTGTGTGTGTGTGTGTGTGTCTATTCATGTGCGTGTGTGAGTGTGTCTGTGTGTGGTAGTAAGTGTGTAAGTGGAGAGTGAGGAGTGTGTGTGTTTTTCGGGCTTTATTTCAGCCTTTATTCAGTAACAGTTCAAAGTATACAAAAATAGAAACACAGGATCTATTCACTCCAGGGCTCATGAGTCGTTCCTCTCTTTCAGTTTCACTCATTCGTTCAATTCCCGTGTTCTCTCCCGCGGCTCATCCCCATCCTCATGACTTTCACACCCCACCCCCTCCCTCCAGGCACACACAAAGAAAATCTCACTCATTCCCTTGCACCCTGCGAACCATTGGG